GCAGCGGCCCGGGCACCAGCAGCCCCGCCCCAGGCCCCGGGGCAGGCGGCGGCCCCGGCTCGAAGCTCCCTTTGGGACCGGGGAGGCCGGGGAGGCCCAGCTTACCCAGCGGCGTGGCGTTCGCTCCGGTCGCCATGGCGCCCCTGGGACCGGCACCGGCGACTCCTTTTCCTTAGTGGCGACGGCTTCTCCTTCGCGAATCTTCCGGGGCGGGGGAGGGGGGCCCGACTGCGCTGCCGCGGAGCCGTCCTCTCACGCGGCGGACGACGGCGGCGGCGGCGGGAGACGCACAAAGAGGGAGGAGAGACGGCACCGCGGGGGCGGGCCGGTGGCGGCGGGGCCGGGGCCTCGATTGGACCGGGCCAAGGCTCGGGGGTCGGGATCGGCGGCCTCCGATTGGCTGGTCTGTAGCTTTTCTCGATGTGTGCTGGGATTGGCCGAACCGTTAGGCCGAGAGAGGAAATGGCGGCTGAGCCTGGCGAGCTGGGAGGTGTCGCAGCGCACACTTCATTTGTTACTGCGCGAACTGAGGTCGGGGTCCAGAAAGGAGGGAATAGGGTGGGGCAAACTATGACGTGGGAGAGTAGCGCTCTCTCATTGGCTGGAGAGGATTTAGTCAATCAATCTTGGTTGCGTCGTAATGTCTTGGGATTGGCTGTCGCTCGCTCGATTCTTTTTCAACTCTCCTCCCCAGGGAGCAGTTTCGACGGGATGAACCGAGAGGTCGCGGCTGAAGAGCCCTGGCACCAGCGAGATTTAAGGCAGGAAGGAGGGGCAGGGAGTGCGCATGCGTAGGTATGGCAAAGCCGCCTTTCCGTCCATGCTCGCGGTGGACCCCTAGGTACGCCGCGGAAGTCCTGAGTGACGTCGTCCTCTATTCCCATGGTAACCCGGAACCGTGGGGCGGGGGGGGGGAGGGGCTGGCGCGCGCCTGCGCGCGATAATCAGATCCGTTGACGCTGCAGGTAGAAAGGGACTTCCTGTTTTCTTTGAAGGGAACCCTGGTGGCGTAGTGTTTAAGCCTTGGGTCGCTAACTTAAATGTCTGCCGTTGGAACCCGCCAGCCACTCCACGGGAGAGTACAGATTTACAACCTTGGAAACCCTATGGGGCAGTTCTACTCTGTCCTGTAGGGTGGCTATGAGTCGGAATCGACTCATCAGCTGTTCAGTTTGGTTTGGATTGTTTTCTTTGAAAAAAACGAAAAGTGAAAAAAAAAAAAAGCTATAACATCGTTTTATTGAAGGATTAAAAATGTCTGAACTGATGTGAGAACATATCTTAGGTAGATGGCAGTATAAAAGTCAGTTCTAAAATTAAGTATAATTATAATGCATTTCTATTAGAATCCCGACGAGGTTGGAAGGGATTTGGTAAAATTATCTTAAAATCATATCTGAGTGAAAATAGTGGAAAAACTTGTAAAGGAGGTGAAAGAGGAGCTCACCTTTCCCGACAGTGTAAAGCCGCAGTGATGAAAACCATATGATACTGCTGTAGGGAAGACAGATGAGTGGAACAGAATCCGAATAGAGTCCGGAAATAGATTCCCCATGTACAGGTATAAATACCACAAAAGTCATATTTCAGTTCAGTCAGGGGAAAATGATTTATTACTAACTCATTGCCATCGAGTCAATTGTGACTCATAGCAATCCTATAAGACAGAGTAGAACTGCCCCATAGGGTTTCCAAGGAGTGGCTGGTGGATTCAAACTGCTGACCTTTTGGTTAGCAGCTGAGCTCTTAACCACT